TATATATATATATATATATATATATATATATATATATATATATATGTTTTATTAATTTTTTTGGACCGGTTCTGGGTTTGGGTTCTGTTTGTTGCATGTATGATTCAATGCAACAAAATAAACAAATTTAAAAGGTAACAGATCGTTGTAATACTTGGCTTATTTACATAATGATTTTAATTGCTGGATGTCCGGCCCCCGAGCTGCTAGCTTTCAGTAACTGTGGCTCCCTGAGCAGTTTAGTTGAATAGCCCTGCTTTAGAGGGTGGAATACAGTTTATTCCATTTCCAAAACCTAATTTGCGTCTGGAAAAATGTAAAAGATGATAAAGTCCTGTGGCCGACCTCATGAGCAGCTGAAAACAACAGTGATAAACAGGAAGTACCACATGTTCATGTGTACGAACGTAACTGCAGGTAAATCCTCAATTTTCTGCCATAAATACATTGTATTTTTAATGGTTAAATTAAAGGTTAATGCTTAAAGCTAGTGGTGCTTTGTTTCGCGTGTTTTGAATGTAGATATAGCTATGTTGCAAATTCTGATTGCGTAAGTTTAATCTTCGTTTGTTATGATCAGTTAACACTAAACTGATTTAGTATAAAGTGTTTATTAGGTTGTGTAATGTAAAGCAGAGCGCTACGTCTGTAGCATCTTAGCTAGCGTGTCTGCATTGCACGCTGCTAGCTTAGAGCTATGTCTTGTTGTGTCGTGCTCTCTAAAATAGTTATTGAATCAAGTGTTTAATCATGGAGATAAACGTAGATGTTTAATAACCCATTAAAATAAACCAAGAAATTACACCTACTTTATTTAAAATTTACTGGGCGAGGACACCCAGACCCCCCCCCCCCCCCCCCCCAGCATATCCCACCCACATCATGAATGATTCTGACACCAATGGCCACCACATTGTTCAAGCCAAGAGCCATTGTCAGCACTGGGGGCTGAGCACCCCTAAAGGGCAGATTCTAGAATCGCCCCTGTAATTTTGAACGTGTAAATTCTGGATTGATGTATGTATTGTATTTGCTGCACCCTTAACTTTTCTACTCCTCTTGTAAAAGCCATCAGTGATTTAATGATCTTATATAAGGAGCGTTTAATAATGAAGTAATTAAATCATAGAGGCATAGAGTAGCTGTGGCTTGTGTTTAAATATTGCAGTACAGATGACGGCTCCTTGCGTTGTGCCGTCAGTTTAATAATGACCGAAAGTGCAGTCTTTTTTGTGACATTAATTTCTCAGTACCTATAAAATATTGATGTGAACACACAGAGGCATACACAGCTGCAATAAAAATCTAAAATTCAGGATCTGCCTGAAGCAGGATGGGGAAACTACAGATGAGGGGTTTGACCATGAAGAGCTTGTAGTTGCCGTTTGTTTCCTTTTCCAACAAACTGTTGTACTCTCTTTTGATTGATGCAGCTTTAAGGCCTAACTTGACAAGTAATACATTTATATCAAATCAGAGATACTGTATATGCAGAGTTATTATTATTATTCTTCACATCTTTCTGTCTTTAAAGCAGATTAGTCAGTAACATCTTGGGGATGCAGTGGTTACATTTTTAATAAAAGGACAGCATTCCTTAAAGAAATGCATATTGACGTCTGCCTTTCAGGCAGAAATTTTAAACAGAGATCATCTTAAGTTGAGTTAAGATGGATTTATAGCCATTTTGATTAAACCATGTGACTCAGTATTCAATGGCATATCTCATGAGATGTGTTAGTACGCCTGTCGCAATGAACAATAAATCAATTAATCGCATGATAAATAAAAATTGTTAACCTCATTTTCATTTATCGGCTTGATCGTTTCTTCGTGTCTCTCTCTACTGAAGACACTGGATGACAAAAGGCTCAACTCCGGTGCTTTTCTCTGATCTCTCCCTTTCTCTTTTCTCGTTAAAATCTGTTTTAACCGGACAAAATTGAGTTTTTGGATCGTTAAAAGCAGCTAGGCTGAGAAGCTAAGCTATGAGCTAAGCTAACAGGCCGAACTCGGGGAAGAAACCTCCGTCTTGTCGAAACTCCAAAATTCCGTGCCTTCGTGTAAAAAGTTGTCTTTCTCTGCAAAAAGAAGCTGAGAACTTGTTTACTGATTTTTTATTAAAAGCTTTGTGTGACAAATGCTATGCTAAAGAGCTCAAACCACACCGAGCCTCTGCCATTTTGAGAACTAGAAAAAAGGAAAGAGAGACAGCCAATGTCATGCCAAGGGGCCTCCCTCCCATTTTTCTTAAAGAGACACGCTGCTCGCTCCCTCACTATCCATCCTTCCATTCCAACAGTCTTATACTGCCATTTGGTGGTCAAAAAAGGTACTACACTCAAAATAAATAACATTTCTTCTTAAATTTGACAATAATTACTAATTATTGTCAAATTTCAAACAATGTTATCATTTATCACAATAATTTCTGAGTCACTTAATCGCCCAGCAAAATTTGTTATCATGACAGGCCTATGTGTTAGTGCTCAGAATATGTCTTGAGACTGACTCTCAGCTACTACCACAGCAAATTTTAGCCTAATATATTTAAAATTTGCTCAGTTATAGCCATTTTAGAATTTGTTAGGTTCATTTTGTAGTGGCCATCTTGACTTGGAATGACACTTAAACCAACAGGGTTTACTCCAGCAGCAAATGGCAAACTTTTAAGAATATTTTTTAGGGTAGTCAAGGTTTAGAATCTCCTCAAATGGACCAAATTTTAGACATGTTTGGTCCAAAGCATGCACTCGTTTGCTGTGATAATTGGGTTTAAGGCTTGACAATTACATAAAAAGAGCTGCCAGTGGGTGCAGTTTAGTCTGATCAAGTCTCTGTCTCTTGGATTAAAGGGGAATCCCTGGGATAGCTTTTTTCTGTCTAACACAGCTGTCTGCATCGGCAGCTTATTTATCAGAATCAAAGCAACTCTTTTCAACTCAAACCCTCTCTAAGGGGTAAATAGAAATACAAATCTCATATTCGGTTCAGATCTTTAAAACCAGAGGCTTTTAATGTAAAGTGTGAACTCACCAGTTTCTCCCCATACAGGCAAGTATTCATCCTGCTGGATGTCTAACATCAGCTCCAGGCCATTACCCATCCCTCCCTTCGTCGTCACCCGCAGGGGTTGTCCATCTTGGCCTGAATTAAACGTGTAGCATTTTCCATAGCGAGTGAATATCTGAAACAGATGGAGAGAGGGATCTCAGTGATGGGCTATGGTCTCAACTGTTTAGAGTAACTCCCACTTCTGAGCCTGGAGCACAATGTGAGTTTACAGCTGAGGGAGTTTAAATCTTCAAAATGGGATTGTTTCAAAAGCAGCTGCTCCAGCGTTCTCAGGTTCTGCTGCCAATCACAGATTCCTGAGGTGCTGGTGCTGAAATCCTGTGGACAAACTGAACCCACACTGCCCTCAGATACTGCCTGCTTTGATTTATGTAATGTAAATATGTTTTCCCCTCACAAAGTAGAATAATTTTACACAAGAGCAATGAAAGCTGGCATCAAACGAAATCATATAAAAGTCAACAGAGTTATTTTATTATGATAGAATATCCTTTTTTTTAATTTTACTTTCAAATATCAAACGGCAATTTGGATTTTTATGGTAAAATTAAGTTTAGAAATTGGCTATTTGTCAGGGAAACAAGTCAAACATTCAACTTCTATATTCCCTGCTGTAAACAGAACTAAATAATATTCTGTTTTTCTACATTTAATATAAGATGAAATTGTCATGGCAAAAAAATAAGGCAAATAAGTAAAACCAGATAGATGATTTTCGACAATATATCACAAAATAAACGTGAAGCAGCAAATCAAAGGACTAAAACAAATCCAAGCAGTAGAATCTGTCTAGCCTGAGTTTCTGAGTTTCTCAGTCTGTCTGAGCACAGTTTATCAGTAAGGCCACCAGTCTTCATAAAACGAAGGCTGCCTAACGTGCAGAATAACCTAACGTCAAACTGTGAACAGAGATGTACAATACAGGACAATTCTGTTACCTCCATTTTTCAGGATTTATCAGTAAATCCTATTTTTTCATTACCAACAATCACTGAATGTCTGGCACTTTTCATAAAATACAACAATGAGTTGTCAAAGGATGAAAGAACACGCTAAGATATTAGCATTTGTATGAACTTTAAAGTTAAACATACGACTAGTTAAAAATAACACAATGACAGGCAGATACATCTGCAGATGGAACATGAAGTTTGATGAACGTGATGCAGTCAAGTCTGATAATTCAGATATGGACCAAACTGCTTGTTGGCCACCGCAGCACCATCTGTGGCTTATATGGAGAAGGACACGACTGGAAACTAATGGATGTTTAATCTAATTAAACATCAGGAAATCAAATAGGCAAAGATGGGCTCCAAAAAAAAAAGTCCCCCTACATTATGCTCAAGCCACGTGATTGGAAGCCCTGTTTTAAAGCATAGCTTCCAATTAATTTAGTATTAACCTTCAACACTGTGACATTCACTTTGAGACAATAACAGGAAGCAGGGGTGGTTTGGTGAAAAGAACCAACAAAAGCAAGGAATTAATGAATGAAACAAATTGTTCTTTATTACCCACTTTTCTTGAAATTCTGTATTTGGATTATACAGCTAAGATAAGGATTACGTTTTAGATAAACAAGTATAAATAAATTTAGTACAATATAAATGAATTTAGTACAATAAAGAATTAATCAAAAGATTTGATATTTTTTATGTTGGAGCTGCTTTTCTTTTGTATTATGAGGACCTTAGCTGAGAACAGGAAGGTGTTTATTACATGGTTGACTTATGAGTCAGACATTAGCGCTTTATGACTCAAACGCAACAAACACCAGATGCACATAGAAGGTAAAACAATTACAGCTACGGCTCAGACAAGAAAAGTTACAATAATATAAATCCTGTTCAGTCAAGTGTGGAATTGATTAAGGCATGTATGAGACAGATTACCCCCCAAAGCGTTGTTATTTGGGAGCTTTTAAGACACAAAGTGGTGGAATCCAATAAAAAAAGGCTTCTAATAGGCCAGCACAAAACTACACGCGACCTTTCAGTTGTATAAGTGGTAAAACTGAGGTAACAATAGAGCCTGCAACACGGGCTTATGTGCAGAATACAAATATCAACAACATTCCCCTGAAATCCATCTTCTGTCTTGAAGCTCGCTCGCTCATAATCAGATCACTTCGTTTCCTTCTCTCGTTGGAATAAAGAAAATAAAAAGAACTTATATTATCAAAGAACCACCTCTGTTTGTCCTATAAGTATCTAACTTTAACAAAAAAAAAAAAAGATGAAATCTGCAAAAAGCAAAGACATTTGCTTGCAGTTTCACACCTTTACATGCACAACACCCTTCCCTAAATCCTACCTATTTGTTATCTTTCCAAGTTTTTTTTTTTAAATTAAAACTCACGCAAGCTGCTTTTTCTTTTCTGGCGACCAATTTTAAACCAAAGAAGAGGCTTTGCTGTTCACACTGGAGGAAAAGCATTTGGCAGATACACATCGAGAAAGCAGCGATAAGGTTGTTGCAACTGTGTGACGGCGTGCATCTGTTTCCTTTAGTGCGTGCCTGTGAACATGTTTGAACAAAAGTATGAATGAATAGGTTTGTATAAAAAAGGATGGACTGTATTCGTTTGCACGTGCGCAGCCCCACTGTGTGCCATCTGCGTGCATGTGTTTGTAATGTGGTGATTGACTACTGGCGGCCCGCAGTCTGAGTTGCTGTGGTAACCAGGAGATTGTGCTGGCTGCATCGAGCGAAGAGCGGCTACAGTGGGTGCCGGTGGTGACCTTGGCGAGTCAGGATCTTCACCGTGTTGTTCGGCTGAGGTTTGCAATTCGTCCAAACTACCAAACACCCTGTCTGTCTTACTCAAGCTTGTTGGTGGTGAGCGCGCCCTGTGACTTTTCCCAATTTAAAATTTGATGTTTGCTTTTTTTGATGAGTTGCAACAGTTTCCACAAGGGAAAACAAGCACAGAGAACATTTTAATTAAAGAATCTTGAATGAATCACAGCGTCATCCCTGAATGTCTTTCTAATCACGAAAAAAAAAAAAAAACTTGAAAGGTTTTACACTGCTGTAACTTGAAGCACTTTCTACTGTATTCAAATTTAAAAACTGCTGTATCTCATAAACTTTTTATTACAGGAAAGAAATACTTAAATCAATCCTAAGTATAAGGGAAAAAAAAAAACTGTGATAAATCACCCTGTCTTGTTCGTGCATAGTGTAAAAAAAAACGTCACCTCCTTTCTTGTCAATTAATAATTCACGGACAGACAGGCTGAGGCTGTTGAAATGGCCTTTGGCTATTCTTCACATGACAATGTGACAAAGATGAACAAGCTGTTCCCTAAAAGTAGCCAGGGAATCACTTTTCATCCTCTCAGTTGATTTTAAGATCAGTGCTGAGCTCAAATATAAGAAAAACTAAGACAGTTACAAAAAAATTAAGCTGAGGGATAAAACGAGTTTTACTCAGATAAAAAAAAAAAACTGTATTCAATAGTTCGTGATTGTTTACACAAAAACTAACAGTTATAAACCACAAAACATGCACTAATTACAGTGGCCCCAAGGTTTAAACACCAAAATTTGAAAAAAAAACCAACATTACATTAAAAAAACAAAACAAAACAAAAAAAAACACAATTACATTAAGCCAAAGCGGAAGTGGACAAAGTGGAAGAGGCCAAAGTGGAAGTGGCCAAAGCAGAACTGGTCAAAGCGGAAGTGGTGAAAAAAATGGAATTACATTTCAAACAACGCAATTACATTAAGCCAAACCTGAAGTGGTCAAAGCGAAAGTGGTGATAAAAACAGAATTACATTAAGCCAAACTGGAAATAGTGAAAAAAACGGAATTACATTTCAAAAACACATTTACATTAAGCCAAACCGGAAGTGGTCAAAGCGAAAGTGGTGATACAAACAGAATTACATTAAGCCAAACTGGAAATAGTGAAAAAAACGAAATTACATTTCAAAAACGCAATTACATTAAGCCAAAGCAGAAGTGGCCAAACCGGAAGTGGTGAAAAAAATGGAATAACATTTCAAACAACACAATTACATTAAGCCAAAGCAGAAGTGGTGAAAAAGCGGAATTGCATTTAAAAAAAAGCAAGCAAAAAAAAAGCTATTACATTAAGCCAAAGTGGAAGTGGCCAAAACGGAAGTGGTGTAAACAAAAAAATTGGAATTACATAAAAAACAAAACAAAAAAACCCCCGCAATTACATTAAACCAAAGCAGAAGTGGCCAAAGTGGAAGTGGCCAAAGCGGAGGTGGTAAAAAAAAAAAAACAGAATTACGTTTCAAAAAACACAATACATAGTTCCCTCTTTTCAGGCCTTCAAGAACGAGTCTGAACAGTACATTGTAAACACATCTGGCTCTATTAAGAAGAAAGCAATAAAAACATTTAATTTGTGAACCTTATTTAATGTGTTTACTTGAATAATCCCCCTGGATTTTGTTTAATTGTTTGAATGTATATTGATAACAGTCGTTGTAATGTTTTACTTTTAATATAGTTTTTAACATATGAAAAAAACAATGCATAGTTCCCACAAAGCTCTCAAAAACAGTCCATGCAAGGTTTAATTAACTGATGACAGCCCTCATCAGTAAATGAAAAATAAAAAATTCAAGCCACTCAGTATGGTAAAGACTTCCTGTAACTGCTCTAGATTGTGAAATTATTCTAAACTCAACGGGCTCCCTGGCAACAGATCAAACTTAATCCATTCAAAAAGGGCCAAGCTGTATGAAAGCTCAAGAAAAAACAAAACTGAGCTTTCATACAGCTTGGTACTTTTTCTAAAGTGATGAATTTACATTGATTGGTACAATGGCCTCATACCCCTGGCTTTTTTTTTTTTTTTTTTTTGGCTTACATGTTTTCAAACCATCAAACTTGTTAAAACGTATCCGTGTTGAAACCACATTTTAACAAGTGGATGAAAAGCATGTACAATTACCACCTTTTAAACAATAATTTTCTCATTTACTGTCAGTAATGTTTCTATAATTGCTCAAAACAGCTTGAAAGACAACATATTACAAAAAAAAAACATGGTGCTTTCAAATGTTAATAAACTTCCTGTTTGACCTGTTGGAGGAGAAATAACAGACTCACCAAACATTGTTTGT